CGGATTTTGCTGTGCGAAAGGTAGGGGGTCACACTCCCGCAAGGAGTGCGTATTTAATACACTTGTGCGAGTGTGTCTGTTCCCCCTTCCCGCGTATTGTATAAAACATTTGATGAGGCTTGCCGCGAGTAGGTCTGGCTCGAGCAGCACGCTTGTGGGACTCTCCCCGTCCAGACTTCGAGCGAAGTAGACGTACCTACGCAACAGCAATTATACTCGAGCAAGCAGTATAACGCAGCAAAGTCGTTTTTCGGGCTAAAGATGTGCCCAAGCAGCAGCAACACCGCAGAGATTTACTACTCCACGCTGGATTTGTAATTTTTAGTATCTTTATCTCTTAAAGGCCTAAACAATAGAGGCAGCATTCAACTAGATAAGAACTGCACGAACGGCTAGCTAATCGTCGTGTCGAGGCAGTGATCTTGTTGAAGCGTTGTAAATTTTATCTGCACGATCGACTCGCTATTCGTCGAATCGGCAGACAAATTTGAAGCGTAGACAGCTCGCTTTGTAAAGCTGATCTAGTCTGAATTTTGAGTATTCTTTGATAGCGTCGCGATATTCCATTATCTCAGAAATTATTGTTAATCTCTTTCTCTTTGGTAAATATATTTGTTGATTGTTTAAAGTAAAACCATTTTGTAAATCCTTTCACTACCCCTCGCAGAAGCTCGAATTTATTCCAGAAAATTAGACAACAAATTTTCACTGTCTTTAACTCGGCAGCAGTCCGAATTTACCCTGGGTTTTTCCATTCGAGGCTTTCGAAGCTTCTCGAGTCTCGAGAAAAGCCCAGCATATATAAATAAATATACATTTTGGTAGCAGAGCATGGTTGATTTTCTGGAAAACAGATCTATTGTTGCACGCGGCCGTCATCAAGGCCACTGTGACGTTATCGAGCACGCAATCGTCCAAAACAAATCGCTACCGTCGGAGAGAGAGAGAAAGAGAGAGAGGCATTTGGAGCGCACAAGGAAAGCAATCACCCTCTCCTCTTTGTGAGGATCTTCGTTCCGGTGACCAGGCTTTTCCCCTTCTTCGCAACCTTCACAGCCCCAAGTCAAGCTTGATTCTCGCAGGCCTGTATTCTTCGGCGTTGGACGAGACCAAGTAAAGGGGGAGAGGTGATAGGGATGGTAAGCCTGTGTATACATCGATTTTTTTCAAAACAAATCAGCGATTACTAACGCTACGTTGCTATACTACATAGTATTAAGTACCGTTCTATTCTCTTGAATTAGTCATTATGGAAGAGATTTTAAAATCTCAGCTTAGCGGGTACAAACATATCGTGAATTTTTTTGTAAATTCAACGGAAAAGGCAGGTGCAGGGGCACAAACTGCAGATAATTTCAATACGCGTCTAGAGTTGCTCGAGAGATATTGGTCAAGGTTTGAGGAACGACACGATGATTTGCTCAAGTTCGAGAATCAATTGAAAGATAGAGAGTATTTTCGCGACGATCTCTATACTTCGGCCGAAGTTGAGTATTCGATCGCGCGTGCTAGATTACGTGGTAAGCTAGCAGAGCTAAATCCGCAACCCCCTCAACAGAACCCACCAGCTTCACAGCATTTTGTACAAAATTTTAACGCGTCCTCTTCTCGATTAACACTCCCAAGCATTTCGTTACCTACGTTCTCCGGCAGCCAAGGAGAATGGGAGAGCTTTAAACAGCGATTTTGCTCGCTAATTAAGGATAAGATCGATATCCCGCGAGTAGAAAAACTACAACATTTGCTTAACGCAGTTCAAGGCCAAGCGGCGCAACGTTTAAAGGGTCTTGACGTGATTGAAACCAATTTTGATGTAGCGTGGGACAAGCTAGTACGGCGTTATGACAATCCGCGAATTCGCCTTTTTAATACTCTCGAGAACTTGATACAGCTACCGTTAGTCAAAGCTCGCAATGTTCAGGACTTGAATGATATGATGGACCAAGTCGAGGAAGCTGTTCGAGCGCTTCGTGATCTGACTTGCCCCATTGAGCACTATGATAACTGGTTCGTGCATTGCATTATTAGAAAGCTCGATTTAAACTCTCGAGAGGCGTGGGAGGTTTCGCAGAGTGCAGTTGACGGTTTCTCAAGTTATGACGTGTTATTACGTTTTTTAGAGAAGCGTATTCAAACGTTAGAGCAAGCACGCACTACAACCGAGACCTGTGAACCGCGTGGCAAGAAAGCGAATAATTCGGCTTCTCGTTTTTCCAATCGTGTGACAGCCAATAATGCCCAGACTGTTGAGTCAACAGACTCGAAGTCCGGCCCTTCATGCGATCTTTGTAGAAACAATCACTGGCTGCATCATTGTAGTCAGTTCAATGCTAAAACGCCTTCTCAACGTTTAGAGTTCTGCAAAAAGGCTAAACTTTGTCTTAATTGTTTTAAGAAAGGGCATTTCGCTGACAAATGCACCTCAAAGCATCGGTGTTTTACATGCCGGGCAGCGCATCATACTAAGCTTCATCCGGCTAATTTTCAAATTCAGGATTCAAGCAATCGTGGCTTTCCAAAATCGAATAATAATAATAATGCCACACAGGTCACTGGCGCTGCTGCTACTTCTGCTGATTCGGGCGGTGAAATCGCGTCACATAGTGCCTCTGTAGGAGCAACAGTACTTCTGGCAACGGCCCGCGTTATAGTTGCCAATTCGGCCGGTAAATCTCTAGAAGTTCGCGCATTAATCGATCCCTGTGCAGAAAAATGCTTTATTTCAAAGCGCACGGTGAATTTTCTCAAGCTTGATTCCGAGAAAACTTCGCTTTCGGTGATCGGTGTCGGAGCAGAGACTTCTTCTAGATGCTATTCTATTGCTCACGGTATCCTAAGGACGAACAAAAAACAAAATTTTGCAATGGGTTTTTCGGCTTTAGTTCTTAATGAGCTTACTAGGTGCTTGCCAAAGCAAAAGCTCACGCGAGGGAATTGGCCGCATCTCGAGGGCCTAGATCTAGCAGATCCAGACTATACTGATCCTGCAAAAATCGATGTAATTTTAGGGGCTGATGTTTATCCAGCTTTAATTATGGAAGGTTTGGTCAGGGGTCTAGCAGGTACTCCACTGGCTCAGCAATCGGTATTCGGTTGGTTGCTAACTGGAGCTATCGATTCTGGTAATCCGCAAAGCTCGTCGATTCGCGCGTTTCACACGCACACGGAACCTTCGCTATCTCAACTTGTCTCAAGATTTTGGGAGATAGAAGAAGTTCCTCGTAAGTCCTTGTTGACCGCTGACGAAGAAAAGTGTGAGGAGCTTTTCGCAAATTCGTATTCTCGCAATGAAAACGGTCGTTTTGTAGTTCGTCTACCTTTCGCTAAGAGACCCAATTTTCTTGGCTCTCGTGATATTGCTGCAGCGTGTCTGGCTCGCTCTGAGCGGCGACTGCAGCACAATTCTCAACTTGCTGAGCGCTACAAGGCTTTCATGTGCGAGTATATTGAGCTGCAGCACATGGAGTCTGTTCCGGTATCGCAAATCAACAGGCCCAGTTTTTATATGCCTCATCATGCAGTAGTAAAGCCCGACAATATAGAAAAAATCCGCGTAGTCTTCAACGCGTCGCAAAAATCTCGCAATGGGATCGCCCTTAATGATTTGCTCTTGCCTGGCCCAAAGTTGCAGACCGATATCGCAATAGTCTTAACACTTTGGAGGCAATTTAGATATGTGTTTACTACTGACGTTATCCAGATGTTTAGGCAAATACTGGTACATCCCAAAGATGCGGATTGGCAGCGAATTCTCTGGCGAAAGGATAGCAATCAGCCGTCGAAGGACTACAGATGTACCACGGTGACGTACGGCACTGCGTCTGCTCCATTTTTAGCTCTTCGCGTGATGAAGCAGCTGGCCATCGATGGAGCTGCCGACTATCCAGATGCCGCTGCAATCCTGCAACATACGCTCTATGTTGATGATCTCTTCGCCGGAGCAGACACGGTTGAAGAGGCGCTGCGACGACGTGACCAGCTGATTGCTCTGTTAGGGACTGCTGGTATGGCCCTTAGCAAATGGGCAGCGAATGTACCACAGCTGCTATCAGGTTTGATTTCAACGTCTACGGGTGTGGTGAATGTAAAAGCAGACGAGGTAATATCTACTCTTGGCCTTAAGTGGCTCCCCCAAGAAGATAAATTCATGTTTTCGGTCACCGAAACGCACTCACCATGCGAAGTAACAAAACGCTTAATCTTGTCTGATATTGCTCGTTTGTTCGACCCTCTAGGATGGCTAGCACCAATGATTGTCGTTGCCAAAATCATTATGCAAGATTTGTGGATCGATAAGGTGGACTGGGACGCGCCTACAACGCAGTCTCTGCAAGCTCGATGGTTGCAATTCCGAGCCAATCTTTCAGACGTACCAAGGATCCGAATTCCAAGGTGGATAAACATAAAGGAGAATGACGACTGGCAGCTGCACGGATTCGCCGATGCCTCGCAAAGGGCTTATGCTGCAGCAGTTTACTTAGTGGTGCCTGGGTCTACGCCTATGCTGCTTGTAGCGAAAACCAAGGTCGCGCCTACGAAGGTGCAGTCGCTGCCAAGGCTGGAGCTCTGTGCTGCTACACTGCTATCTCGACTGACGTCGTATCTCCTCAATTCGTTGCATCGTCCACCGACAGCGATCCACTGCTGGTCAGACTCACGAGTTGTACTGGAGTGGTTGAAGGATCATCCGTCCAGGTGGCAAACCTTTATTGCCAACCGCACAAGCGAGATCATCACT